AGTTAATCAGGTATAAGCTAAGCTAAAATTATCAATTCAGTATCTAATTCAGTTGCAGATTGCGTTGTTCCTTAATCTTCGAATTGGATCCGGCTTATTTTTTGCAGACTGTTAGAGCAATTTTATAAAAGTAAGCTTGAACTTTCGATTATGTCAAATAGAATTTCCAATATATATTTACTAATATGTAAAGGATCTACAAAACGAAAGGAAGTTTCAAAGTCCGTTAAACAAAAAGTGAAATTACTGTAAAAATGGATAAAGGCATATCCTTTGTTTTTCTAACCATTCCGAAATATGTTTAATCACTTTCACGCTGCTCTGCGGGGGAGGGAAACGTCGCGGCGCGCAATGAACTGGAAGTTGATCTGTCAGCACTGTCCATATCTTCAGGGCAGATGTTTTTATTTTATTATAGCTTTCGGCTAGATGTTTTTATAGTTCATTACTAAATGTGGTATTTCATCTCGATGTACTCTGTCTTTTAATGATTTAAATCAAATTCATTATAAATATCACGAATACACATGAAATAGTTTTCTGGTTGCAATTTTCTAATTTCGACTATGCGTAATGTATGCTTTATGCATGCTCGCATTGAAAGAAATGTTTAATAAAGTAAACAAATAAATATTAAGCTTTTTTTTGTAAATTTTGATACCCTTTAGATCATAATTGTTCTTTATTTCATAAATTACGGTTGCATATTTTTAATTTTATAATTTCTGACTGCCATCCTACCAGATTTAAACTGATGATCTATAATCCGGAAATATCGATAATCTGGAATCGCCGAAGTCCCGACGAGTCCGAATTAACGACTTTTGACTGTAATATGTTTACGCATGCCTGTTTAATGTATAACGTATGGTATAAGCTAAGCTAAAATTATCTAATTCAGTTAATGTTGCAGATTGCGTTGTTCCTTAATCTTCGAATTGGATCCGGCTTATTATTTTTTGCAGACTGTTAGAGCATTTATAAAAGTAAGCTTGAACTTTTGATTATGTCAATAGAATTTCCGATATATATTTACTAATATGTAAAGGATCTACAAAGCGAAAGTATGTTTTGAAATCCGAAATCTGTTTATCAATTTCACACTGCTCTGCGACAGAGTGGGGTAATGCGCGGCGCACAATGAATTGGAAGTGATCTGTCAGCATCCTTATCTCAGGGCAGATTTTTATTTTTTTGGCTTATAATTCCTTACTAAATGTAGTATTTCATCTCGATGTACTCCGTCTTTGATATATTTAAATTAAGTTCTCGTCATTTAATGCTTTAAGTGAAGAAGTGCACAGAGGTTATTGAAAACGAAAAAATTTCGATGACAAATTAGGGTATATCGACACAGCATTATAGACTGACAGCGGAACTTTGTAATAAACAAGAAATTAGTCTGTTTAAATAAATAAATAGAAAGTATTGTCACATGAAATGAAGCAACTTAAACAGCTTACATTGAAAGAAATGTTAATAAAGTGAACTAAAATATTAAGCTTTTTTCTTTTTGTAATTTTGATACCCTTTAGATCAGAATTGTTTTTGTTTCATAAATTACAGTTCATATTTTTAATTTTAATTTCTGCATACCATTTACCAGATTTAAACTGATGACTATAATCCAGAAAATCGATATCAGGGGGAATTGCCGAGTTCGCATTAAGATTCTGACTGACATACATTCACTCTTTCTTCATTTTCTTCTTGTAAATTTGTCTATTCGATATCATCTTTTTAATTATAGAATAAAAATGATTTGTAAAAAAAAAAAAAAAAAAAAAAAAAAAAAAAAATACACAAAAAATGTTTTTTAAGCTTTTGAAAATGTTACAGTAAAAGCTTTTGGAAGTGCTACAAATCCATACAAGGCCTATGAAAATTATGATTTAATTTTTTTAAGACCAAAGGAGTGTTAAACCGAAAGGGCTGTTAGTCTTAAATCATTATTAGTAAAACTGCATTTTACATCATTTCACTTTCTGTGTTGATTCACTTTTGAAACCGTTGCCACCAAATATTATCTCTACGTAGTATATTTAAAGAAATTAAATAATGAAGAATCTGCATGAATGTTTCTTGCATTATGAAAAATTGTTACTTAGAGCTATCCAAGTTTGAATAATGTAGACCCCAACCGAACATGGGCACTAAGAAGAGTGAATTTGGAATTTGTTTTATTATCTATTTCAAATTTTGTGAAACTTTTAACGAATTTTTGATTAACAAACTCAACAATTTCAAGTCGAGCAATGGCAACACTGTACGAAAAAACATTTTTATCTCCAGCACGCGAGACTGTCTATCAGAATTTATTATTTATTATTATTTTATGTTTGGTACTTTTACCTTGATGCCTCATTGCTGCATTTTAACTTATTCCTTTCCCATACCTTTGGCTTGATACTAGACAAAATAGAATGATGAGGAACAGCAACAAGGTAACAAACATTCTCTAATTTCACCACAAAATCCTCCCCTCCCTACCCCCAAATAAATTGTGGCACAAAAACAGGGCCTACATTATTATTATTAAGCTTTTAGCAGTTTTAACAATTTTTTTGCATCCATCCCTTTTAAGACAAAATAACAACAAATTGGCACATACCTCTTTCATTTAATTATTTCAATCATTGATTATGTTATGACTCATTTAAAGCAACCTTTAGTTTATAAAACTAAATAGATGTTAATTCCTGACACAATAAGTAAATAAATAATTTGGCAGTAACACAAGAAATGCGTGATCCAATGGACCACATTTTTGTTTGGAACACCTTATTCCTTCCAGCATGAATGAAGTTCTTTCATGACAATGGAATGTCTTACCCTTCTGCAGACTGTGCATATTGATTACCTAGAACCTCTCCTTTTCTTCTCAATGCAAGAGTAAAATCAAAGAATTTCTCAGCATAGCTGGGAGCAGCTGGGTTCCCATGCCATTGATGTACCCTGCAGAAACATAATAAAAATCAAAACACAAGTTTTTTTGTATCTGTGTCCCACAAACCATACTGATGACATCTTGTGTCAAGAAAATAAAGAAGAACAAAATAAAATATAAATTAAAAAAAAAAATCTGAAATGTTTCAGATCTTAAATTACGTCCAAAGGGGCGTTTTTTTAACGTTTTGAGTGTTACCTTTATTTATTAAATATCATGTTCTTTGCAATTAAACCATAAAATTCAGTGCAAGAGCAATATCGCAAATAATGTTTTAAGAATATCTTTAGAATTTCCGATATACACAGTCTCGCGAACTGGAGATAAAAGTATTTTTTTCTATATAACGTTGCCATTTCTTGCTTTAAAGCATTGAGTTTGTAAACAAAATTCGTTAAAGTTTTACAAAATATAAAAATCGATAATAAAACAAATTCCAAATTTGGGATTTCAGATGCCATATTCGCAGTTAGGATTTCGTCATTCAAAATTCGATGGCTCTATGTACCATTGTTTTATCACAATGCGAGAATAGACAATCATTTATGCAGATTTTTCATTATTTAATTTCTTCAAATATAATGCAGGACTCTAACATTTTGTGGCAACAGTTTGAAAAGTGAACCGACGTTTATGAGTCCGACGCAAAATCGCAAAACGAAAACAATAGTCCTTCAGGGACAAAGCCCCTTTGGACTAAAAATTGCAAAGGAAATACGTTGGGGGAGGGAGAAAAGTAATCTGACTTTAATGGAAAAGTATTTGATATTTTTGTTTTCATATCAATTTTTTTCATAAAAATTTATAGCATAAATATGTGCTAATAAATAAATACAGCAACTTTAGTTTTAATACTTTATAAAATACATTGTGCCTTTAAACCACATTAAATAGATACATGATGATTAAATTGAAAATGGTGAAAAATCAAGCTGCAAAATTAAATAAATATAGGTAGGAGTAGGTGAAGATACAGTCTAAATTTTACTGTAAATTTCATGAATCAAATGCTAGCGATGAGCATTTTCATTTAGTGACTTGAATTAAATGAGTTAACTCACAATCACAATTAATATGAGGACTGTTAAAGAAACACATTAAAGAGAAATAACCCAACAACGGTTAATAGAAAAGTATTGTAAATAATTTACTTGTATTCAAAAGCAGTTTGATCTGGAGAGAACAAATTCATTTGATCTCATGAATTAAATCAGTATTCAAAGGTTCTATTTCTCTCTGTGTTTTTCTTCACAGTGCATCTGCTGTTTGTTTTTGTTAACATTATTCTTACATTTCTTTAGAAGTCAGAGTAAAACAGAAGATTTATTATCGTATTATTATCGTTTTTTAAGATTAATTTATTTGTAATGAACGACTTAACAAAAGTTTAAAAGTTCTGGATTATGTACACTAAAATTGCATCGCTGTGGATAAAAATAATCCTAAATACTGTAGCATGATCTTCTGTCATTGCTTTTATCCTAGTCTTCCCCCCTTTCATTTTCTATGGACAGTTTTGGTTTTTGTTTGTATTGTGTGGTAGTAATGTTTCCATTAAAAATCTGCATTAAAAATCTTTATTTTTAATTAATATTACTACTACCACCCATTGCCTTAGCTTTGAATAATAATTCAATTACATTTAAGTTCCTTAACCCTCTTACATTCTTCTAAACATGCCTAAATTTCTTCACAACTTCAATTCAGTGCATGCAAAGCTTTCCGCAAGTGTGGGCATGATGGAGACACAAACTTTGAGTAGCACAATTAATAAATGATACTTTAGAAACTTCTCTTATAAAAATTCTGTAGTCTTTTTCTTTTTAATTATCTAATAAATGTTGTAAAATATGTAGTTTTCGAAAATATAGAATCTGAATCTGAAATTAATTTTTTAAATCGGCTAATTAAAATTGGAATCTGACTGAATAGTTCTTATCTGTCGAGTCGCTATTGACTTGCTATTTAAGTATACTGTAAAAAGATTTAATGCTGAGACTCTGTGTATTTAAAGTAGTATACTAAAGCGTAATTTGATGTATCTTGTGTGCAGGTTGTTGATGTAGTGAAAGCTGTTCATGAAGGAAAAGAAGTGAGAGAAGTGATTGGAACAGAAAGCTGTGTTATAATGTGAATTGAAGTTAACATCTTGTGTTTTGACTGTTGACGTATTACAATCATTTATCATCAGAAATATATGATATTTCTTCTGCAAGGTTTTCCCGGAAGAAATGGAACAATGTTCTGTTATAATGTTTTGTAATAATGATACCAGTCAAGCATCAAAAATTGAATTCTTAATTATTTAATAAATTGAATTGTTGGATGTATCATAAATGCTTGAAATATTATTTCTGATTAAAAAAAAATCTACAATGCTTAATTATGAACCTTTTGTCCAGTATTATAAGTATTCATTAAGTTTATTTTTTATACTTTTGACTGTGATTGAATAATATTCTATATACTTACTCCGAAGCTGAATCTAAATAGCTTCATCTCATTTTTAAATAATGGCTTTTGTTCAAAATACGAAGTATTTTATTTATTATCATTGTTAATTATTTTTCAGTTTTGCCTGGGATTAGTGATGTTAAATTCGCTCACTTTGCAAGCTGTCAGTTTAAATGCTTTGTATCTTATCTCATATTTTCAATAAATTGCAGCTAATGATGTAAAAAAGTATTGTTCTCTCATTTTTTGATGTGAAAAATTATTTACCAGAGCTGACCAATAGCTGTGAAATACATGTAAGAGAAGACTACTGTTTGAACTTTCAAGTTAGGCAAAATTCAGTTATGGAAACAAGCAATAATGTTGCTTGCGTATGAGTTCGTAATAGATTAAATGCACATGCAGTTAATGGTAATAGCTTGATAAAATTTATTTTACCAAAAGGAACACTTATAGTTCACAAAAATATATGTACAGCTCATCACAGAGTACAATGAATAGTTACACTTAAAATTACTAAAAACATTAAACACAATGTTGTGCAAAATATATCTAAAGAGTAAAGCTAATTTGGAGATATCTCAGTACTCTAAACTCACGTTGAACTAACACCTATAGAGGAACTAATGCTCTCTCCAATCTCATATAGTTTTCACCTGGCTGCTGAGGAATCTCTAGTAAATTTCATTTTTTCGAATTTTTGGAATTGCATACTTCGAATATATGGTATGTTGTATCTAAGGGCTGGATATGGTTACAGTTGCATATTAGGTTAATTACAGAACCTGTTACAGTTGTACAGAAACCGGACAAAAATGGTAACTAAATTTGGCAAAAAAAAAAAAATAGTCGCCAAAGCCATCGCCAACTTGGCGATATCTCGCTAATTAAGTGAGATGGCCATTTACTCAATGTTAAGTATGTTTTTGTGTTTAATAGGGTCCATTGGTTTAAAAATTTGATCACGTTTATTTTCTGAGCTTTTGAGCATCATATTACTAAGAAAAATTATAATTTCTAATTCGGCCTCCAATTAATTAATAAAATAAAATTTTTTCATTGATGAAGTTACTTCTGTTATGTTAATTCCAACAAAGGATTTTTGTGAACAATAAAATAGACTGAATAGAAAAAATGTCTCTGAATCATTTTTTAAATTCTGAGCCAAGTAACAGAAAGTTTTCAACATGTTTGAGTTAAATAAATGTTAATAGCCTTTCTCTAATAAATTTTCTTCCACAAAACACTTCATAGTTAGCCAAAACAGCAAATACTGAGCTCATGAATTCCAATATATATTCTCTTTTTTTTTCCTTGTAACGGGGCATTTAAGTTGTCGAGTTTTGTACTGATGTCGTTTAAAAGTGCTAAATTAGCTACCCATTCCATCCAATTTTTGGTCATAACTTACTTTGGATATGAGTAAAGTTTTAATCTTCCACAGCATTCCAACAAATCTTGTTAAAACCTTTTCTCAATTCAGTCCCCTTACTTCTGCATGGTAAATTATATCACCATACTCCAGGGGCGTAGCTATAATACTATGAAAAATTATAATTTCTAATTCGGCCTCCGATTAATTAATAAAATAAATTTTTTTCATTGACAAAGTTACTTCTCTTATGCTAATTCCAACAAAGGATTTTTGTGAACAATAAAATAGACTGAATAGAAAAAATGTCTTGGAATCATTTTTTAAATTCTGAGCCAAGTAACAAAGTTTTCAACATGTTTGAGTTAATAAATGTTAATAGCCTTTCTCTAATAAATTATTCTTCCACAAAATGCAAGAGGGAACATCTGTTCGGGCACAGAATCCAGGGGATGCAAAATGATGATGCGAATTTTTAGAATGAAGTGTTTTCCATTCTTGGCAAACAAGATGGGGGCAAGATCTTCAGTTGTCCCCAGTCGCTGAAAACCCTAGCTACAGCCCTGCCATACTCATTATCTAGCTCATCAAGCAAATCTTTAAAAAGTCGTTGATTCAAAGGCCATCCTCGGATAAAATTTGTAGTGCGTACTATAACAGTCATTATGTTATTGAGGCTGAGCTTTTTAGTAGCTATATTTTCTTGAAGAATAATGTAGATATATGGTTTTGGTTTGGTTTGAAAGATTGTGGCAAAGCACACTAGGACTATCTGTCTAAGGGGAAAGATGCCTTCGTGGAGGACTTTCTAAGGGAAGCTGGCTTGTATACATATTACACATGGGGAAAACCACGAAAACGCCCATGCAGCCAGCCTGTTTGCCTGGATAAGACCCAGGTAAGAATTACCACTGTTAGTCAGTTTTACCCCTCGGCTGCTGGTGGGCGCTCGTAGAGTTACGAATTAAATTTGTAAAATATGTCTTCTTGGTTAGAGAGCCCAATAAACGCAGTATTATTCGCAAACATAGCCAGCATGGTGAACGATACTTTGATCATGGGGAAGTCGGGAAACACCATTCTCGTGAAAATCAGACGTTTTGGTGAGTAGGCAACATTAGAGGATTCACCAAGCTACAGAGGAAAATACCATTATGAAATGCCCAACCGCTGGGGGGAAGGAGAATGTTGTCAAAAGCCATACATACCCTGCCTCTATGCGGAGTAGGAAAGTATCTAGAATATGTTGAGTTCAGAGATTAGCTTGAAAGGGAACAAACAGAGTCGGGAGATGTATTCACCTTTGTAGCCTGAAGTCTGTGTTGCTCATTCTTTTAACGTGTGTGTTTATCAAAGTTTTTCGACGACTGTAAATGTGTCTTTGGAACTCTCCTGTGTGATACTGGCGAATAAATTATGTTCTGATTCTTCATCGAGTGTTATCATCAAACTCATAGAACGCATATTTTTCCAGATTAGATTTCATTTTTACATAGATATTGGTCGCCATATCGTCTCTCGGCAAGCTACGATATTTTATGACAGAGGCACGTCATTTATCTGTGATTATTTCATTTTTGTTTTTAAATTAGTAAAATAAATACTGAGCTTGCTAGCATAGCTTACTACGTAATGGCCCCCATCTGATAATGCCTTTTTATTCAGTCGCGTTGACACTGCTACTGAAGTAATGGATAATAAAACAAAATATTTTTTCGCCAACGTTTGTAAATAACAGCTCTTCCTTCCATTGATTGTTTAAGTGGTAGACTTTCTAGTCTTCAATTGCCAAGAGGCACGTCATTCATGTCGTCAAGCACACCACAAAATAATTAAAATGGTAATTTAAAACGCATTAGAAACACCGCAGTTTCGTTGGTGCTACCGCGAACTTTTCTCTGCTTATTTCAGCTGAAATGATGACCGGCGATTGCATAGGTGAATAGATGATTCATTGTATGTGCACACCTGCTGTCACGCCAACAGCGAATCGGACTTGTGTTAAAGCAGGCACTCTAATTTTAATTTGCCGCTCATAAAACCTCATAACAGTAGGAAGGTGAGTGACACGCGAATAGGCTAATACAACAGTCATGCATGTAACATGTAATTAGACCTTTCTATTGTTATTTTTAAAATTAGGATTCTAGTAAAGTTTTTGTCTTTGACGATATTGTGTTTGTAGCTACCAGGCGCCCGTGAACCACCAATTGGACACCATTGGTCTAACGAATCGTGCACTCGAACCACATGTATACATGTACCATGAGTAGTGCGTATAGCAACTGCGTCCTGCTCATTATACACTGTAAGTTGTATTTTTTGACTGCTACATGGAAAAGTGTCCAGCGGAAGCTAATTTTCCGGTTGCTGCTATCATGTTCACCGATGAGGCATACTTTAGCAGAGAAGGTTGCTACAACGCACATAACACATATGTATGGGCAATGGAGTACTCAAGCCACGTGCAGCAACAATAGTGCCCGCCAGAACCTTTTTCCGTCGGTGTTCTGGTGAGCAGTATTGGCAATCACCTAATAAGTCATATCTGATGCCTGTTTGTCTGGACGGACGGTCTTATAAGATATTTTGGAGGAAGTCTTGCCCGGGTTGTTAGATGAGTAAAGGATCCAGTGGGCGCGGCGCAGCGATATGTGTTTCCTGCATGATGATGCCCCAACCCATTTTACTCTTTCCGTTCGGCAACCTTTGAATTAAATATTCGGTCAAAGGTGGATTGATCATGGTTTGGCTCTGATCATTGGCTAACACGTTCGGCGTATCTGTTCTGCTTAGATTTCTTTCTCTGGAGTTACATGAAAGGACTCAATGCATGTGTTTATACGAAACACACATGGCGAGTGAGAAAAATCTTGTCGTACGCATTAAAGTAGCTAGCTCAATCATACATAAGACTCCTAGAACATTCCAAAAAGTCCATGATTTTACACTGAGGTGTCACGTTTATATCACAGTTGGCAGCTGTACCTTCGAACACTTACTGTGACCTGTAAATATCAAATGTAATGAAGTTCAAAAAGCAGCAAAAGGGGGGTGCGACTACATCTGGTAGTGCCTCCCAACGGAAGTGACAAGTGACGGGGGACATGGACACTGTTCCTTTACCATAGCAGTTAATCAGTACAGCACCACAGCCACCATTATCTAGAGAACAGCGTTAACATATGTAACTAGTATTACAAATAAAGCAATGTACAATGTATATAGCAGGAGTAATTGCATCTAGAAGAATAGGATATAAACTATATAACATATGTAATATTTACAAACTGTTGTGCATCCATATTATTTTCGCAAGTGATGCTATACCAGAGGTAGGAAATGCATACGCATACTAAAAATGCGTGCACATTGTGACGAGGTCACATTGAATTAATTATTTACTACGTTATGGAAATATTTAGATATTTGCATCAGATTCCTTTGGTGACAGTTTCATATTTTCGCCAACTTGTAATGTAAGGTGAGGAACAGATTTCATCAGACAACTGTTGTAAGCGGAGGAAAGTATTGCGTCAGACAACTAGCGTCTTCACTTCTGTTTGCCTGGGTAGCTGAAGGTATTTTGCGATTGGTTGCCTTCTGACGCTGGATCTTTTTTCATTGGCGGCAAAACTTAACTGTGGAACTTTATAAAAGGCGGTATTTTTTGTCCAAGAGGAGGGAGGAGATTGTAAAGGTGCGAGAGGGAGATGCTGCATAGAGAAAGACAGTAAGAGTGGGATAAAATGCAAACTTTTGGGAGTTTATCGTGCAAGCTTTCTTTGGTCTCCAGTATGTATGAAAGAAGCGAGTTTCTTTCTCTTTGTGTTGTAACTGCAAATTTAAGCTAATC